ATATATATATATATATATATATATATATATATACGTATATATATATATATACATACGTATATAGCATATATATATACGTATATAGCATATATATGCATAAATATGTACATACGCGCATATTTATATTTGCCTGTATACGTACATCTATTTATATTATAATTATATATTTATAATAATTATTATACTTATATTAATATTGGTATTGACATTGATATTTATATCTATACATATTTTATTGTTTTTATATCTATATCTATTCATATTTATATTTATATCAAGGCCTATATATACATATATGATATTCGTATTAGTAACTGCTTGGGGTGTATAGGGAGGTAAGTTAAGATTGCATGCATGCGGAGGCAGCTGAGAGCCAGTAGCACAAGATAATAATATTAATTTATTTAAGTAACAACCATTATCTAATTGTTGTAGCAATAAAAATAAACGGACAGGAGGTATACAAAGTTGAGGTGTATGTACACCCCAAAGGCGACACATGCATGCATGTATGCATGAAAAGGCAGCAGCAGATAAAATAAGTTTGTTTATCTTCTGACATTTCTTTCCTCTTGCAGCTGTCTTTCAATTTCTTTGGTTTGCTGCTGCAGAGACGCCCGAGTGGTGTGCAGCGCAGCAGCAGCTTGCTGCAGTTTTGCTGCTGCACCGTCTATAGATTCTCGCGACTGCAGCCATTCTTCTGTTGATCAAGAATAAACAAATAAATAAAATATATTTCTTTGTTTTTTTATTTAGTTTTAAAATCAATAGACAAAATTAGCAAAGAGGAGACAGACGTATACACCTAAATAATAAAGCCAACACATTAAACAATAAAGAAACAAAAACAAACAAAGAAACAAAGAGAAGTAGACAAAGAAAAAGAAAAAGAAAGAGACAGACAAGGAGACAGAGACAGAGACAGAGACAGAGGCAACTAAGCATGAATGAAGCACTTGTCTTGAGGCTGCGGTCAAGCAGCAAACAGACGACGACGAGCAGCAACAGCAGCAGCAACAGCAGCAGCAACAGCAGCAGCAGACCTTCTAGCAGCTCCAACTGCTGCCTGCACTGCTGCTGCTGCTTCTCAATCTCCAAGTCATACTCCGCCTTTGCTTCTTCTGCTTCTGCTCGTGCTGCAGCAGCAGCAGCCAGCAAACTCTCCTTCAGCTCGGTCACCTCCTAAAGACCCCGCATACACACAGCAGCTAGCTAGCTAGCTAGCTGTCGGCAAACAAACCAACGGCGAAGTGAACAGCTAGCTGAGGCTACGAGGGCCTTCACAGACGGTGCAGCATCGCTCAGCGACCAGCTAGCCAAGCTTGCCAACGGCTAGCTGGCTATCTAGCTATCCATCCAGACAGCTAGCTAGCTGGCTAGCTGGGTAGCTAGCTGGCTAGCCAGATGGGCCTCCCTCTAGTTGGAGATGCAGCTAGCTGCTTCGCTGACAAAGCGGGAAACCAGCAAAAGGATGCTGCAGACAGAAGGCTGTTGCTGCTGCTAGCTAGCTAGCTAGCTAGCAATTCATCTGGCTAGATATCCAGCAAACTATTTATCTAGCTAGCTAGCCACCTAGCTAGCTGCCGCTGCACTGCTGGCTAGCTAGAGACAGGTAGATAGATGAATAGACAAACGAGTAGACGGATAGACAGACAGAGCGATAGAAACATATATAGGTAAATAGATAGCAAGGTAGAGGACATGCTAGCTAGCCATCTAGCCATTCATCTAGCTAGCTAGCTAGCTAGCTAGCTAGAAGGGCAGATAGATAGCTACAGAGTGGTTATTGTTGCTGACGCGCTCAGTGACGGTGCTGAGAGCAGCCTGTTCTGCTGCTTGTTTGCATTGTTGTATTTTATGATTGGCGCTGAGGAGTATTTCTTCTATCTCCTGTTCGTAGGCGTCTGTTAGGGCCTTTAAGTGGAGGTCGTGATCTTCTTGTACGCTGCTAAGACGAAATATAACTTTTGTTAGCTGAGCAATCTTCCGGTTTATGCTGCGCCGGCTCGCCGGGTCTTCCATCTTTTAAAAAGTTTTGAGTTATACGGCAACAATTCAATGCACGGGGTGTACAAACACCCCAAAAAGCACAGTCAACGCCGCGCGGCCCCTGCTGATACTCCTCCTGTTCTTGCAGCTGCTGCTGATGCTGCTGCTGCGGTTTCTGCTTGGGCTGTTGTGGGGAGCAGACGATCTCTGAGAGGCTCAGGGAGACTCAGGAGATATACACTCAAGTTTAAGCGGGCCCCTAAGACCTGCAGCAGCCAGCCAGAATTAAGAGAGAAGAAAGCAGAAAAAGGAAGACGTCGGTCTTTCGGAGGAGTTGCAAATGTTGTTTGCCATAGTATTCGAATTATTATGTCGGATTTGTGGCGTTTATTCCCTATTTCTTCTAAAATGATGCAGCCCCGAGGTGTATGTACACCCGAAGGCGGCGCCTTAAACGGGCATTAGAACAGTAGGGGGTATTTGTCTATCGGTTTGTCCATTTAGTCCTTCA